TAGTTATTATATTATATTATTATTATTATATATATATATATATATTTAGTGTGTGTGTGTGTTGTGTGTTGTGTGTGTGTGTGTTGTTGTGTGTGTGTGTGTGTGTGTGTGTGTGTGTGTGTGTTTATTTGTTTGTGTGTGTACATACACGTGTAGTCGTGCGTATTCTTGCATGGAGTAGAGATTGATACAAGCACATATATAGCTTAAAGCCCTATCACAAAATTCATAGTCAACCTTAACGGATGAAACTAGGAACATATAGCACCCTAGAGGGACTTGTAACTTACTTTGAAGTAATTCAATCAGACCAGCATGTGTTTTTTGCTGCTCTTTACTGGCCACAACCACAGTCCTGGGTTTATGTGCGTAGAAGTCCGTCTCCCCAGCAGCGACATAGGTCGAGGCTAGGGTTACAAGGGCCAGCCTAATAAAACTGTACATCGTGTGTATGTGTGTGTAAGCTACACACAATTATACCTGCGTAAAGATACGGTAAACTTTGTGAGGTCTGCTACGCGCGTGTGTGCCTACAGTATGTGCACTATCCTAGCATCTATGGGATCGCTTTGTTTTCTTTTTTGTTTTCATTTGTGCTATGTCGGGTGGTAAAATAAAGGCGAGACAAGGGCGCTCAAAGCCTCAAACTCTTTCTCTGTGTGAAAAACTGAATTGACACTTATGTGTGAGAAAATAATTGACATTTATGTGTGAGAAAATAAGAGTTTGTAAAAGACAGAATAAACTTTGAGAATCATCATGAATGTATGACGGAATACGCTTTTCTTGCTTTTTTTGCACTGGTTGGTACCAAAATTCATGACACAAATCAGACACACATCTGAATTCTGACACCTCCACAAATACACACAAAAATGGAGTGCATTTTGCACAATGGATTAGAAGTAGAATTGATAGCGTGTTTAAGTGCGCGATATATCCAACCATGCACCCCGGACTATATCTTGCAACTAGCCTGGATTAAGTACCATGCTTCAATGTCGACAATTGTGCGCTTCTTATAACCACATTCTCGACAATCGTACGCATTGTGATCGCTCCTTGTAGTCCAATATGATACTGGCTCTGGCCTCAGTGATCTCGCTATGCTCTGTACTCTTACTAGGAGGAGGTCTGCACTTCCTGCTGGCCAACCGTATGGATCCCAACTACTGTCACATGACCTACATGTATCAGAACCCTGTGGTGAGTTCCCCCTTGAGCGCGATGCGAACACTATTTGTTTTGATTTAGGTTTGCGAGAGTTCGTCGCGGATTTGCACATAAGTACCAGTGCCCGGTGGTAATTTCTATATCTGCCACGCATGTGAAAATGCATGTGAACACGCAACGATTCAACGTAAAACTGCGATGGATTGTTGCGCACTTATCATTGTGGCCTATATCTCTTAACATACTGGATCCCAGTCACTGTCGCATAATATACATGTAGCAGAACCATGGGGTAGGTTTCCTGTATGTCACGCGAATACGCACTGCTTTGACGTGTATTTGCGGGAAATCATCGCGCACTTGCAATGGTGTTATTATTCTCTTACATATGCAACCATCGCGGTATTGTGTAAGACCGAGTGTTGCGCTTCAGAGTGTGTCATCAGTCACTATCCAGAATTAGGAGACATTCACGGTTATTGTCAATGTACGGTCCGAATTTTCATACGAATGCTCAACAACCCAATATATCTTGAAGTACTGCCGTATATCTCATCTGTGTGTACTAGTAGGCAAGGTGCGTTGAATTCAATACGTCTGCCACGTGGCTATACCTATCACTCCTTACATCTGGTGCAGCTTATACTCTGCCCCATTCGCCTTCCTCCATGTTCACCCTTGCTCACTCAGAGATTTCACCCGAATATGGCCCTCAACATCTCCTTCTAGCACTCTTCAGTTCTATTTATCGTTATAGTTGATGAATCTATCTTTGTTTGCATAACATGCCTGGGTCCTGTGGAGAGTACTGAGTACTTGGAGTAGGATTTCGGCACTTAGAATTAGCGCATGGCTGCTCGTGCTAGGGGTGCAGAGACGTTTGATGCCTTCCGTATCGCCGACAATTCCGGACAATTCATATTGCAGCTTAGATCGCTACGGCAAATATAGGCACATGTAATTATTGGCTATCATCATCCCGAGTGAGGAGATAGTATAGGGCTGAACGTCGATGGTAGCGTTGTGCTGACCATTGAACCTGCCTACACATCCTGACTATTACAGTACACTTCGATTCAAGTCAAGAACGGGCCAGCGAATAATGATCGCAGATACCGGTTATTACAATACACAGAGGGAATCATAAGAGGAAACGAGGTGGGTCTGTGGCGACACTTTCAATCGTTACATTAGAACCAATGCGTTCTATTTCCGTCAGTTTAAATTGTTTCCATGGCCTTCACCGACTGTCTCGTGAATGTAAGAACTTTCTAGTTTTTCTATCTGCGGAACCGTCTCACTAACCACACTATCACAATGCTCCTTTGAAATCAAAGTGTAAAGGCCGCCATCCCGTTTTGTATATATCGGGTAATTCCGGTAGCTACAAACAGGTCAGATCCATTGCAAGCATCGCAGCTGATATGGACCGCACAAACTACTTGATTAAGGGCTCACCGCGACGGCCCTTATCCTTCTTCACAGGTGGGCGACTTACAACTGTTGATAGATTTGTAGTGGTGGTTTATATGTCAAGCATGTATCCCGGTACTTGCGTATCTGATCGAGTCAGAAGTTTCAATGGGCTGGATAGTACTTTGCTCAAATACTTCTTGCGTGGCGTACTGGATGTTTTATCTGTATATTGTAAGTTTATTCCTTTAGTAAAACTCGAGTTGTAGTTACCATGCGTACACACGAGAAGGCGTACTCGCCGCAAACTCGCTAACTTCAAAAAGCATCATCACGCGATGTTTAGCTTGTTGCGTTGAACACAGATAGCATCTCGCAGGAGAACTCTATGGCTTTTTATAGTCGCGGGTACGGGCAAATTAAACCCCGCCGGATCCACTTTCCATCGCTGTATACTATGCAGTGGACTTCAATGAAGAGCTCTCTGCACTATTCGGTGGGGTGTTGCCCGTTCAATCCGAGTACGCGGCGCACTGTGTGCGGCATCTGCAATCGATGTGTACGAAACCCTCGGGAACAGGCAAGCTAGCAACGGTGACGATTCTGGGGCATTCCATGGGGGGGCTGGTTGCGCTGTCGCTGCTGAATTCTGATGTAGGTGGTTCTATAAATAGCATAATTTCAGGGCTCTCTTCTGTTGCTTGGCTCTTACCTCGCTCGATCGATAAGGGGTCACTCGAATGGGTTATGCGAAATTGGCCACTATTGTATATTATGAGCAGCGGCGGTCCTTTGAGTAGACAGATGGGTACCAGGCATAGGTTTGACATTCACGTTCTCATTCGTGCAGGTACTACAAGCCGGCAGCATTGAAACCATTGTAACTGTCGCCACACCACATCGCCCGGTGTTGGCATTTGACTACCGGCTGGGTAGTTTCTACCATACTATGAACAGCGCAGGTAAGTTGCGATTGCTCAAACTCCCTCAATCATTGCTATATTCTCATATTACACAAGCGGTTATTTATATTGCACAAGCAATTTTTAAGTCGCTAATGAACTGTAGTAGATGTACAAAGCGGCACCGGATCGTAACACTCTTTCACTTCACACATTAAGTCCTCAGATCCGCAACTCAAAACGTGACCCTTGTGAGTATCGAAACCGGTATACGCGACTTCCAGGTGCGCGCCGATCTTGCCAGTCTAGGTATGTGGCCGATGGTAGTCCTACAACTCGACTTACCGCACAACAGGTCATTTTCGATAGCTGTGTACATTTTATCATAAGAGAAAACACGTCTCCCTATGGAATATCACACGACTTTCTCTACAGGTATGACCGGGCCTAATATCGTCCACGCTTCGACAAGTGGCATTCCCGGTGCCTGGTTGTCGTGCGATCACCTGGCTGCTGTGTGGTGTAAGCAGCTGGTATTGCCTATACTCACAGCTATGAGTGTGCTATCGCTACCGTCACCAAAGGCAGCCGATGCTGTCGGCAATTTCCAGTCCACCTCCGATATCGCGCGGGCCAATGAGCGGGCGGAAAGGTACCGATCGACCTTGCTCCCAGCAGCAGAATTCATTCACACGGTATGGTCATGGGCATATTCGCCTTCCACAGTTAACCAAGGAGATACCTGATATATTTGAGAGCAACCAAAAACTTGGTATCATATGTGGTCTGCCCTCCAGGCGTGCGCGTATACTAATATAGATAACCCGTTTCCGATTTTATGCTGCTGCTTCTATATCTCAGACAACCTGCGACAGTGCAGATTCTACAACGTCGACGATTGGAACAACGGATGAGAAAATGTGGCCATCACCGGCACAGACGTTACAAGATAGGACTGGCGTGGCGCGAACGATCAAGATCGCACTGGGGGGTTCGCCGGAAACCACATCTAGTACCGAAACGCTGGCAATCAGTACTACAGAAACCATTTCATCACTCAGCTTGTGTAGCGTGCGACAGTGCTATGCTTGCGGCAATGGCAGCTGTGTCTCAAATGCCGATGAACTAGAGTTGCGCCTGGAGACGCAACGGCTGCCGTATTGGAGAGACACGTTCAAGGGCGCAAATGTGCGACCGCCACAGCACTTTGATAATCTGCGCCGACCGGTCACTGCTGTTCTCATACACCGCATGAACCATCTCAGAAGCCCGCAATCATGGGAGGATATACACCTCGAGATGGTCCTGAATGCCGCCGGAAGTGAGCAGGCGAAAGCTCCGGTTTATAGTAGTGAGAAAGGCTTCGTGTCGATAGGATGGTCTTCAGGAGTCTCAAACGTGTTTGCGACACCCTTCTATGGACAGACATTGGCCATTGAATCTTCTGACCAACACCATCGGGTACGCGTGGCTCAGCCGCTGGAGAGTTGCTTGATAACATCGATTCTACGATTCAAGCTGATGCACTCCGAGACGGGAGAAGGTGCGTGGTCATTGTTCAATCTCATGCCCCGAAGATACACCGAATATAGGAGTTCAAGCATCTTCGAGTGTGTGAAAAAGTGTGTGACGATCGCATGAATATCAAGCACGTTCCGCTATCTTTAATCGCACACCTGTACCTCCCTGATGTTAAGCCTGCCACAGCTCATATCCGTGATCATATTCAATTTAACACTCTCTATGGCCTCAGACTGCCCGACGAATAGCGCTGGGTATATTGCCACCCACGTAAGCAACAGGCGAGCGACCACCGCACAACATTACAGCGCGAATACGCATACACGCGGTGGCGTGCAGTTTGAGCACGTGTTGCGCCCTTGTGATGCCACTTTTGATAAAATCCAGTCGTACGTCGCGATGGATATTGATGTTTGGGATACCAGGTACCAGCTGGACGACGTATGTGAGTATGTCCTTTCTGCGTTTGATTAGCTTTTCTGCGCTGCATCTCAGCGCCTCAACTGTGTGGTCTTCGTCGATCGAAACTTCAACAATTACAAACCATCACGTACTAACTTTGTCCCTGCGGAATACTACACAATTTTTACTGTAATGGGGTGCTTGCAGATGTGTAGACTGAAAGTAGCTTTGACATTCAGTCCGACCAACGCCGCTACCGAGTACGTTCGTTTGTACGGACCTGATACAATTACCAGAGCTGTCACTATTCTACTACTGATCATCGCCACGCAGATTTTCAGCTATGTTCCCAGGCAGTAAGTATACACTTCGATACCTTCTTATGCTGCTGTGCATATATAGCAATGCTGCACAATGCATATTTTTCAATCTGCAGTTGACATGTGGGTAGCGCGGTATATGCAGCAGACCTATGTCGCCATGCTCATTCTAAGCACGGCCTTAACCGGTTGCCGTCCTTGCTCAATGCAGATACCGAGCACCCACCACTCGAACGATGCACTCACGCAGAAGCTGCTTCACAATCTTGATCATTGTAATGTGGCTGATCGGATCGGGAATTAAGGCACCCTATAGCGCACTTGATAACGTATTGGTCAATCTTTGTTCATTGGGAGTCGCTTTGGCTGTCTATAAGCTCGTGGCTGTGGTTTTGTGGGTGGGTGGGTGGTGTGTCTCTCGCCTCAGTCCGTGTTTGAGTCCTAGGTCTAAACAATCCCCGGCACCCGATGTCGGCAACAAGGCCCGCCTGCCTGAGAACCCAAGTGATGCGTTTTATTTCGAGTTGGATTCAAAGTTTGTAGCCTTTGGGGTGGGCTTATGTGCTGTGGCTATTCTGGTTACTGGTTGCTCGGGTATTGGTGTGGCAATAGCGGCTGTCATATCTGTAGTCCAGAGTATCAGAGAGCGCGCCGATATCCAGTGCGAGGCGACCGCTCAAAACAACCGAGCAAAGGACAACTCCTGGATCGATTCACAGGTGCGATTATACTCCACACAGTGAAACGTACTTTTTTTTTTTTTTTTTTGTCAATCCGGTAGAGTAGTGTCATACTGATTCCCTGCCTTGTTCGATGCACTCAGCGGATTGCGCAGTCGACGGGATCTGTGGTGCTTTGCCTTCTGTCCGCCGGTCTCTATGGGGCTGAATGCGTTGTATATGCACTCGGCCATTCCAATTCGGTTGAGTCTCCGCCGGTAAGTAGTTTGGATACTGCGAGTATCGCGATCGAATTTTTGGCATCCGAGCTGAAAATTTGCCTGATGTGCTTCCAGTGCCTTTGTAGTTCCCTCTCATAACTTAACCCAAATTTCCTCAAACGGGTTTTTCTTTTCTGACACAGTTACGACTCCTATCACCCGACGTAGTCGATCTGACACCCGCAGTGCTTGTCATTTTTAGTCTACTGTGTGGGCATATACGTCGCCCACGATTAAGCCCGCCACAGTCTAGGTAAGTGCGATATTTTTTAGCACATAGTTCTGATGTTCATTCACACGATTCACACGATTGCATGTGTACTAATATCTCCCCATACCTGACCTTGACTTAACAGCCGTCTCTCCAAGGGTCTCTCTTCTGTAGCAGTCGGTATGTTATCTGATATTTCTGCCTGCGTGATTTTGGTTAATGGACCACAAAATCGTATATCATATGCCGAATCCAATTGGTGGGTGCACTGACTTCTCAACGTATTCAATCTCAACATACCTACCTCTTAGTCATCTCTCTGGCAGTGGATAGGGACAACTTCTGGCTCACAAGGTACGACAGCCGTTCTTGTGTGCACCGCCTCCCAATTTTGTCATTATCTCGAGGTGACTACGCATAGTTCGAAAAATGGGAGTCTATGCCGTGGTTCTAGGCTTAGATGCTTGTTCGAAATGTATACTAAAACACGATGTCAGAATCTGATATACAGAACGAGTGCACTATTCTAAACCTGACTCGCATATATCAACAGGTACTCGCTGGCCTTGGCCCTGGCAGCTCTGGCACTAAATTGAGGGGCTATATAATTACGGATGCCTATTGCCATTGTCACATTACTCTGGGATATGGCTGTCACGATTGCACTATCGCTTCGTCAATGACCAGCCATTGGAAATGTAAATTGACTAACAGTTAAAAGAGCCGTGTCGCCTACATTTTGCGCTGCCCGCAAGCAATGACAAAGTGCCGAGTCTACGGCTATCGCTTACAGCGCGTATGCCTTTTGTATCATGACTTTATTGTGCTTGTGTATTGCGCACCCCCTGCAATCATAAAATAGGGTTTCCAGTATGACACACTACACTACTTGCACGGTAGGCCTATTGACTGATTAGGTACTAGGCGGTACACAACCTGGATATCGTAGCAACCATGCGCCTGCTGTCCCATATAGTAATCCCTTCGACTGTGCCCTCCATGGTGCGAACAGCCCGTGAAGCGGAAGAAGCTGCCTCGATCCATACTAAACGTCTTCAAATCGTGCGGAACTGATACTTCAGATTGGTCTCAGGAGGTGAGTGGGAAGTACAATCTTCAGCCATGACAATACATCAAGAGCGTGGTTCTGATGTTGGCCTTATGCCATCAACGCTAACCTCTAGCCTCATGCGTCCTTGAATAAAGTGCTGAGCAGCTCTTTGTCGTTCATGTTTTTCAAGTAGTCGGGTACGTGCGCGACCGGTGGCGCCCACCCGCACATGGCCGCGGCAATGGCGCTGCTCTCGTCTGGAGACAACTGGACATCGTCTCCAATCTGGAGCAGATTGAAGCAAACGTTCGCTTAGTGTAGGCTTGGTAACTGTGAGAGTTTGATCGCTACAACTCGAGACACTGTACTAACTGACAGATGACAGCCGCTCAGATAACCACACAAACGCACAGATTGTGCATCGCTATACCCACGTGTTGTGTAAACCATTTCTGAAAACTAAGACCAGCAGTTATTACAAGGTAAATTTGGGATGCGAGCGACCTACCGTTAGCTTTCCTTCTTTAGTAAGGGACAATTTCTCATTCAAAGTCTCGTCTTGTGTTTCTTCACTACGGGTTTCATCAGCTATACTAGCCCGTACTTGACTGGCAACGTTAGCATTGTTCGCTTCTGCGCCATCGACGGGAAGGGAGCCAGTAGTACCAGATGCACGAGCTGCGAGAAGAATCAAAATAGTGTATGAATGCACAGCGTATGCCACAGCGCTGAAGGAATCAATCAACGGTGAAACACTTCATACTCACCGTATCACTGCAATCGTGCATAGTATTCACCATACCACTGCGATCATGCATAGTATTCACCATACCACTGCGATCATGCATAATATTCACCATACCACTGCGATCATGCATAATATTCACCATACCACTGCGATCACGCATAATATTCACCATACCACTGCGATCATGCATAATATTCACCATACCATTGCGATCATGCATAATATGTACCATACCACTGCGATCATGCATTATATTCACCATACCACTGCGATCATGCATAATATTC